TAACAGTCAAAAATGCTTACATCTTTCAATTTATCTTGCACTGAAAGTGTATGAGTATTCTTTTAGAATTTCCTGCTGATTTCAGTACCAGATCCTGTTGAACACTTTCCTCCACTCCCAGCAGCCTGCAGTGACATGATAACTGAGAATTTAAAAACCCAAAGCAATTTTCTGCCCTTGATGCAGGGCCATGCTGCTGTCAGCATGCTGTCCTACTGTGGACAGCTGTAAGACATTGTTTCTTAATGCCAGTTTTTGGAAGGCAGAGCTGACAATGCATTTTACAGCACAGACTGCCTCTGTTAAAGTCAATCCTGGGCAAGTTTCTGTGAAATGAGAATGGTTTCTGGCACTATGGGAGTCACTGCAACAATTTCAGATGCTGGCAGACAGCATTTGATGAAGCTGCTGTCAGAGATGAGGAGCAGTGCTAGCTTTCTACTTGGATGGATAACTCCTTATAACTTTGACAAGGTAACAAGTAAAGCAGTCAGATCTAGGAGGCTATCTTGCAAGGGATGCAGAATTAAGACTGTTCCGTTTCTGCACGTTTCTCAGCCTGCAGAGACCTTACAGTGTTCTGAAGAGCAGTGGCCAGCAGCATGCATTCAGAGCAGGAACAGTGTGATTGAAAAACATTGCTGTAATGCGGGATATTGTTTCCCCAGCAGAATGCATGCAAAAGCCGAGAGCTGAAGCAGCACTACTGGAATGTGTGTCTTCTCTCAGCGAGCGAGGGTTTTCATAGTTACATGGTGCTAAGGAGCAAGTGCTCTTCTTAAAACCTAACTTAGTCCAGGAAGATCTGTCTCAGCTAAAATGACTCTGGAGGTTTTAAAAAATTGAAGTCTGTACTTTTTGGTTTTTGTTTGGCTTATTTTGTTTGTTTGGGTTTTGTACCAGAAAGGGAAAAGACAGTGAGAAATTAAGGAGACCAGCTTAGTGTTATTGCTGGTACAAACTACCAAAAATCTTTATGGTTTCTAGGTGACACTAAACACGAAAATGACTTCCTACACTTCCTGCGATGTGATCCTGAGCTGATGAAGCTTGAAACCTATATGCAAAACCAAAGCGGAAAAATCTTGACTTGTTGCTGTGTCTTCCTTTTATGGAGAAGATTGGTATTTTGAATGGAAAATGGGAAATAGCTGAAGAGGTTTAAATCTTTGACTTTGCAAGAACTAATCAAGTCAGATACAGAAACTGCAATTGTTTAAAAATATGGTGCTTGGACTAACTTTTTTAAATCCATGGTATAGATGAGCCAACGTTTTTTATTTAAAGGGGGGGAAAAAGGATTAATCAGTTTTAAGACTTGACAGCATATGATCATCATTATACCATTCAGAATGTTCCAGGCAAGAAATGTCACCCATCTGTGAGCATTATTGTTGGAGAAAGACATGCTTATTTGAAAGACCTATAGGCTCTTAAAATTTAATTTTATATCCGTGAAAATTGAGCATGATTCTGTGCAGTCATTTATTAATAATGTAATCTGAAGTATTTCCTTGCTCAGGATGTTTTCATATTGTGCATTTTCTAGACCCTGAGAATGGTTTTCAGAGCTCTTGCTGGACCTGCCTTAATATCCATAGGAAAATCTGTGCTATCTGATCAACTGTGTTGGCTGCTCTTTCCAGAGCCCACCTCTCCTTCTAGCCACTGCACTACCAGTGTGTTGCAAATTACTGAACCATCACAGATGATGATGCGCTGCTGGCATGTCCAACATGCACCCACTTACCCTCTACCTACAGAGAGCCCTGTGAAGTCCAGGCAATCCAGCTGCTTACACCCAACGGCTGTGCAATTTGGTTTTCCTTCTAACAGTTTGATCATTTCCCTTCGCATTACAAGTTACCCTGCTGCATCATGGATCGTGCATTCCTCACCTGGCTAGCTTCACGCACTCCGGCTGCAGTCCTTATCATGCCAGGCACACAACTCATGCTGCATTTGGACTTTTCCATCTGCTCTTTCTCACTGTACAGTAGTTTTTCCAGGGCTGCCGTAAGTCAGACCACGGGTATACTGCACTCAACTGCCTCTTTCAGTCTCTCAAGAACCCTGTCACTCTCGCTAAGTTGTAGGCAGCAAAACCACACTTACAAATTATAGTTCCTTTTCCAAAACTGTGTGTGCCCACACCTAGCTATCAGTTTCATCACCATTAGATCTCATTTTGATAGCTAGGCTTCCTGTTTTTCAAGCTTGAAAGAGCATTGCTTTAGCCTTTTATAGTAGTATTTGCCTTCTATCTTTATTATGTAGATTAATTTGTAAACTGGATGCAGTTCTTCCAGTAGTGGTCACATCAGCCTTGAAGACACTGGTGAAATTCTGTTTTCATTGCCATTGTAGTCAAGAAATATACCACTTTTTCTCCTCAATGTACTGTTACTGAGCTTTATTAATCTCCCACATAATTTTCAGAATCATTGATTTTAAGGCTGCAAGTAGCCTTATGTTTGAGTACAGTCTTTGCTTCTAGATACATGACCTTGCTTTTGGCTGCATTCAGTCTATTACATGTGACTACCCAAAGTTTAGTGAAATGTAATAAAGACTAGGAACATGTTAGCTCTCTTACTGCTTGGATCTTCCATGTAATTAATGGTTGCCTCTTGTCTGAAATCTTGTAGGTAGAATTACACTTTTACATGGAAGTGTTTTGCTCCGTGCTGTTTGGCTTGCTGAACGTACCATGTCTAATCAATGTCATTTGTTTAATGTAATTAGAAGATATTAAGGCAAAATAGAAGTAACTCTGAGGATATTAAAAAGGCCATCAACAATTTACTGGTATTAGATTGATGGAAATGGGCACCATTTTCTAAGCCTCATCAATTCCAGAACTTGACTAGCGAATTTGAAAAATTCTTTTGCATCTAAAAGAAAGTTCTTAACTTCATTTACGTCCCCCATGCCCCCTCCCCCAGCTTTTTTTTGCTCTGATTATCCTGAGAACACTTTGAAAATATATCTTATAAATATGACGAAGGACTGTTTGCATAATCTAGTATCAGTTCTGAATTTAATACAAATTCAGATCAAAAGGAAGCAACACTGAAAGTGTTGCAAACTTCTATTATAAATATTTTGGTCCAAAAATTAACTACTCTTTCAAAGTATAAATTTATCATGAAAATGCATCTGTGATTGCAAGAATCTCAGTATCTTGTGCCCTGATCACACCTAATGTTAACTAGGAAGGTAATGCCTTTTCAAGTATAAGAGAGGAAATACATACAACTTAATTGTAACTGAAAAGTAAAAAAAATGGGGTAAGATGTAGAGAAAGGAGATTGCAATGACCAGAGAACTGAATGAAGTGAGATTCTATGGTTTAGTTACCAAGTTTTCAAATTTTAATCAGCAATTACTTACTTTTGGTATGTAAGTGTCCTTACATATAGTACCTGTTGGGGCAAGGCTTGTTTATCTAGCAAAATAAGCAGCAGCAGCACACGCCAGCAGCTGGCAAATAAGGCCAAAGGAAATACAAGCCAAACATAAGGATACCTTCCTCTTCAAGAAAGGTTGATTGGCAGCTGGACCAAACTATTGAGGGAGCTGGAGCACCCTCACACAAGCAGTAGAATTTACGGCAGCAATAACTGGAAAAAATTCAATGAACTACAGAAAAAAGAGTAAATAATTGTTTCCTAACAATGGGTTAGAGCCACCACATCGCAAAAGACAATTAAGAGACCATGTGCAAAGAGATTATTTAAGAAAATTTCAGGAAATAACGGGTGGCTTAAATGAGGCTTGTCTATAATAGTATAAATTTTGCCCTTTTCACATCCGTTCAGGTGACCCTCTCCAACTATTTTCTTTCACACTGAGCTATAACCCTCCTCTACGAACCTTGCACTGCACAAAAATATTGACGTAAGTATTTAGGTATAACATTGCTACATGATCTAGATCTTTATTACAAAAACAGTTGAGGACATTTTTTACATCAGGCAAGGAGTCATCAGCATGAAATATTCTACTGTCATTGCTGGTTTTAAAGTTTATGACTACAACTGAAATTTTTCAGAGGATGAATAGTCACAGAAAATACCAAGGTCATGCAGAAAAGTATTACTTAAGAGAAAAGATACTGGTAAAGGTCATCCTTCAAAAATACACCTAACAGTGTACTTAGTTTGGAGGGTACAAGTTTTAAACACCACTGAAAAGTTTTTTCTCAGTTTTTTGCTTTTCCTCTTCAAAACCAAACAGGTCATTACTGTGATTTTTCTTGGTGTTCAAAAGAAATGGTCCATCAAGTAGAAAAGTGACAGATAGGCTTTGAAAAGTATCACCTGCTCTAGAAGGTAATTTCTAGAATATTCTGTAATTTTACTATCCTAAATAAATATGACATGACAAGGAGGAAAGTGAACTTGTATCGGATGTCCTGGTCAGGACATCAGATGAGAAAAGAAAGCCCACAGGTACAGTTTCTGGGTCTGCCACAGCAAGTGGGATGTGTCTGAAGAAGCAGCGGGATGTCTGGGGCAGACTCCTCCGTCTGGGCTCACCATGCCAGCCTGCCCCTAAAGTCATCGGAGGGGAACGGACACTTCCAGAATGTGAGTCACACAGGTGCCCTCGTGTAAGTACCTAAGGCTAAGTGAGACACGGTCCCTCCAGTAAAATGACAGGCCTTTCACCGAATCCCTTTGTGCCACATTTTCCCCCAGCTTAAAATATGACTCATGCTTGCTTTTGTCTCCCTTACGTCTGTTGAGCTTGTAGGCACACCGGCTAAAAGAATTGCTGCTGGTTGCGTATCTGCGCAGCACAGTATGGAAGGGATCCCGCCCCTCAGACAAGTCTTTCAAGGGAAATAAAGAAGAACTTAATTAAGTAAAATATTTATAAAACAGAACCAAAATATATACTGGAATGCTCTTAACTTCCACAAAAGTCAGCTCAAACCATTACAAGGAGCAGGAGTGAGACACAGAAAAGACTGCATTGTGTCAAGATACATGAAATAGGTCATGTTGTTGCGTTTTATTTGCTAAAAATAACTGCTTTCAAACTCTATTTTTTTTTTTTTTTGTAGGAATAACAGTGTGAAAATCCTAACAGCATCCTGTGTAAAAATACATATTTTTTAAAAAAGAAAGTAACTTCATAACCATCATATTTTACCTGAAATGTTTATGATGGAAGTCAGAATCACTTACGTCACGTCTGGAAACTGTTATAAATAAAAGAAAATAAGTTGTTCAACTGTGATGGTTCTGAAAACTTCAGTACATTAAGATGTGTTTGTTCCACTGAGTCCATCACTCTCTTTGGCTAAGTAAACAAGATTTTGCTTTTTAGAATATTTTAGAAAATTATTGTTCAGTGTTCCATTTCTACATGCAGTCCCCATTGTTCCTTGAATTGCAGGAGATACATTTCTTGGTCCTCTGATAATTCATCAGATACCTCCTTCTCATACAGTCTGGACAAAATTCCCTCTTTGTCAGGATCATCACACTTGAATACTGCCTCACATACCTGATTTTCAACGCTGCACAAGGTAGGAATATACAGTCTTCCAGTGTGAGGATCCCAATTTACTAATATGGTCTCTTCACCTCCTTTCTCCATGAGGCCCTGCGACATTTCTTCCAGCTGAGGATAGGACATCTGCCCAGATTTTTCAGTATCCAAGTCCACCAAGTTGATATGGGTCTCACCTGGCAATTCATCTGCTCCATCAACCATCTTCAAATTAAATTCCTCTATTTTCTGTCCCAAACAAGGTTCTGCTGCCCTCAGCTCTAGTTGGGGGCAGTATGGCTGTCCTGTTTTCATATTAACCAAGGCCTCCAAAGCAATCTGTGGCTCACCTAGTAGTCCCCTGGAGACAGAAGTCTTCTCTTCTAGTTTCTGACTGGGACTGAAGTCTTCAGCCTTTACATCATGCTCATACTCTACAGTCAATGCATTTTTCTGTCTCAAAGTATTCTTTGTTCTGGGCTGGCTATAAGATGGCCAGTTCCCAGCTTGGTCCCCTTCTGCTAAAATATCCTCTTTGTGTGAAACCTCTTCATGTGAAATATCAAGCAAGTGTTTTGTTTCCAGCATTTCTTTTGAAGGCAAATCATTCCCTTCAATGCCATTGTAAACAGTGTAATAATGGGGACTTTTCCGTTCTGAGAGATGACTGTATTCCTGAGATGGCTTGTACTCATCCACGTTAACAGTGATAAGGTTGACCACTATTTTATCACATGGTATGAAAACACTTTCCTTGCACTTGTCAGTGTAATGCCATACCTGGAAAGCAAAAAAAAAAAAAAAAAAAAAAAAAAAAAAAAAGTGATTTGAGTGAAGTATAATAAGAATACCATCTTGCTGCTTCTTATAGTATCATACATTTTTAAAATATAAGGCTAGGATAGACCTTGTTAGGAGGTTATTTCTATTTAGGGAAGAAGGAAGTTCATCACATAAACCTCCCGAAGTGTTAACATGTTCCACTTTTTTTATTCAATCCAAAGTAAAACTGTATTATTACCAGCTCTAATATCCCTTTTCTCATCTTGCCCATGTCAAAATAATGGTTAGGACAATTCTGTCAAATTCTGGTTTTGTTTCCACCAGCATAAACTCAAGTGACTTTGACAGAATGTATTCCACTCTTTTTAACCAGTGAAGAAGTGCAGCCAAAACCACATCCCACAGGCACAGTCAGGTATCATGTTAAGGTATAGCTTACAGAGAACTAAATAATACCAGGTTTCCTTTCAGAAAGGAAGCTATACATTAGGTTGAAGTGCAGTGTATAGAGCCTGCATTGTGCAGTCCGTCACAAGCTGCTTTTGTGACTATGTGATAAATCTTCTAGTTAAACAACAGGAATCTTTCTGAATTGAGTAATATTTCTAACAGGAATAAATACTGTACGAGCAGTCACTAAAGTAAACAGAAATAGAAAAACAACAACCAGAAGCTGCACTTCAGTGCTTTCAGGCTTGAATGGAAGACTAAGACCACTAATTGATGTACCAGGTAGTCTGAAAGCTCCCCTAGGTCAGAAGTGCTGGACCAAAACAAACTTATTCCACCTCCCTCTGACCACATGAGGTGCCCATGTGGAATAGTCAGAGCATCACTCAAACACTAGTCTATATTAATTTGTTAGCTTAATGTCAAGTGAATCCAGAGGTGGAGAAATAAAATTGAAGCTGCAATACGGTCATAAAAAAGTGCAATGGACATTAAAAAAAAACCCAAAACCAAAAACCATACAAATTATACATTTATTAGAGAAAAATCTTCTGGAGTTGGAGTTTCATCTGCTATTGAGTGGGAATTTTTCACTAAGTAGCCCTTTACATTCTTGGACTATAAAGAACTCTGTCCTGATAGCTCTCTAAAGGAGACCAAGCTATCTCCCTCTGCTATGCCCTGTGTCCCAGGATAAAGAATAAGAAAGATGGAGAAAGACTTTTTACCAGGGCTTGTAGTGACAAGGGCAACAGCTTTAAATGGAAAGAGGGCAGATTTAGACTAGACAGAAGGAAGAAATTCTTTACTGTGAGTGTGGTGAGACACTAGAACAGGTTTCCCAGAGAAGTTGTGGATGCCCCTTCATTGCAAGTGTTCAAAGTCAGGTTGGATGAGGCTTTGAGCAACCTGATATAGTGACAGACGTCCCTGCCCATGGCAGGAGGGTTGGACTAGATGATCTTTGAAGGTCCTTTCCAACCCAAACTGTTCTGTGATTCCACAATTCTGTGGTAAAGCTGGTGCCTGGTCAAGTGCAGGAGGTGTCTCCCTGCACATCTGAACATGCTGCAGCAGTAGCTGCTCTAACTTCTCTGAACCCTTCTAAAACCACAGTCCCTCTGCAAACATTTCTCCTATCACCCCTGTGCTGCTCTAGATTTCTTCAGAAAGATCAGCAAGTTGAAAACAACTCCCATATACCTCCCATCCCACGATGTCATGCAGATTGGATTAACATCAAAGTATTCATTCATTATTGTAATTGCATGTTTATGGTTGAGTAACTTGTTTAGAGATAGCTGTGAGAAAGCTCTGCTGGGCCTATGAGCTGTAAACCAGTAACATTTCTTAGACTTTATGTGTTCTTTCTAAAAATTAACAAACTTTGGAGCTGTAAGAAATCTGTATACATTCTTACATAGAAAGTGTATTTGGGCTGTCTAAATAACAGAATGTGTTTGTTCATACATTTTTGGATGTTAGGAAATTATGCGATATTTGAAAGTATTCTTGAAATCCAGATTAAGTTATCTGTGTGATGTGCAAGTGCTAAATCCTTCACAATCACAACTAAGTGGAAAAATCTGGTAATACTCACTAATAGCCTAAGCAAACATGATGGGATTTGTGTACTGCTTAATTATCTTCCCTTCTTGTTTCTGAATTCAACCAATTAGTAACTTTTGTTCACTGAATCTTTATGGTGCTTCTTCCTAGATAAATTCAGGGAGTGCTGACTTCCTAACAGAGCTTGTCTCAGTGCATCTTATAAGCAGACCTAATCTCATAAGCAGACCTTGCTTATGACAATGATCCCTCCCAAACAAGCAGCTCTGTTCTTATCCTCAATAGCTCTGATCATCTTTTCAGATCCGGTCACCTTTTTAGACACAGTTGGTAACTTGAGTTATTATTTTGTTTTTTCTTGTATTTAATAACCCTCAATGTGATGGTCTTTCCTTGATCCGAGTGGCAACTAGAGCTTTTATTTGTAGCTAGCCATGGTTTCCTCCCGGCTGACTCAGAGCCCCAGACAACGCACTGCTCTGCTGGGAGTGCCCAGGCTGGCAGTGACCTCCTCCAGCAGAGAACACTTACCAGGTTTGTTGGATGCTTCTGTTTGCTGACGTGAATATACCTGTGCACACAATAGCACGCCATTGAAATAAAAAGGACAGCCAATATGATAGGCAGAACACATCCAAATACGATTGTTATAGTCTCATCTGCTGTTTTATCTGTTAACAAAACAGAAGTTTTCATTGTACTGAGCAACTTCTTAATGTATTCTGATAGTAATGTGTGCATTCACCACATTGCTTTTTGGATATGGGATGCAAACATTTTAGATAAACAAGGAATTTTCAGGAAATTAAAAAAAAAAAACAACACTACATTTGAGCTATAGGACAAATTTTTATTATTATGTAAATTATAAATTAAATTCTAAAAAGAAATAACAACCCCTCCCTCAGGTTCTCCTGTTGCTAACTTCAGACTGACCCAGCTCTGCCACTCCCAAACCTCCTTCAAGAAGAAAAAATAGCCTCCATTCTCTAAGACTCAAAGAATGCAGATCCTTTTTTTCAGAGGTACTGATCTACCTTCCAGTCAGTAGATCCCAGCTATGTTTTATTAAACGCAAAGATTTTTTCATCACTACAAATGACCAGAGAGGGGAGAAACAATGCTAGCTTTCACTCTCAGAACGGATACATAAAAAACTTATAAACTCAATCACCATTATTTTTTCTAACTTGCATCTTCTTTTTGTAATTTGCCAGCTTACGCTTACCTTTCAAGGTAGCAATACAATATTCTTTGGAGAACCCACTGTGCAAAAGTGGTGTGCTGACATGTATCTGTGCACTGACACAATAAGCTGTTCCAGGTTCTAACCAGGGCACAACCAAGGTATTGTTGCTAATGGAGAACCACCACTGGAAGACATAAAAATAGATTATTTTTTTTTCCCCTTTAACTCCTCAGTTACAGAAAGGTAAAGATCTTACATATAAAATGTGTCACGAGCACATACTAGCTGTATCGATTTTTCTGAATGCAATCGAAACGCAAGTTATTTATTAGGTCACATCCTCTCTGAATATTTTATCTTTGATTCAATCATTCTTCTACCACCACTGATCAATTTCATGCTTCATATGAAGCAGGATCATGTGCTAGCTCACATTCTCATGCTGATGTTGCAATAGAGCTAAAGCATCACTCCAGCCCTGTCCTGACCCATAGGCCAATGAAAAGCACATGGTACAGTTCCACAAAATCTTTCAAATTGGGATGTTCTGGTAAATATAGGAGCCTTAGAATAATGGGGTTTATGTAGACCTTGGAGTCCAAAGTAAAGTAACTGCCATACGTCAAGCACCTTTATGAAAATAACCCCAACAAAACATAAGAAGCTTTTTGTCTACCACTAATTGCTAATCTTGGGATTTTAGTATCTCTTTTGACAGAAGGTGACCTTTTTGGTGTAAAGTTTCTGTCTCTTTTCAGGAAATTCAGTGACTTGCCAGACAGAGATTGTGCCTGGAAGACAGGAACAGGAGAATGAATGTTTTTTTAACTGATCGCTGAACTCTTCTACACCTACTGTGTTTAAGCTGGGAACTACTACTTGCTAACGAAATGTAAATCTGCAGAGACAGACAAATGAAGATGTTCAGATGTGGTGACAAAGGATGCACTCTGTCATGCTGTACTGTGAGTACTGCCAGTAGACTGACTGGCTGGGGAGCAGCCCTGCCGAAGAGGACTGGGGACAGGCAGCAAGCTGAAAGCGAGCCAGCAACGTGCCCTCACAGCAAAGGAGGCCAACAGCATCCTGGGCTGTGTGAGCAGGAGAAGAGGGAGCAGATGGAGCAGAGGGATGATGCCCCTCCTCTCAGTGCTCATCAGACCACATCTAGAACACTGTGGCCAGTTTTGTTCCCCCTGATACAGAAAAGACTGACAAACTGTAATGGGTTTAGTAGAGGATCACCAAGATGGTTGGGACTGGAGCACTTGTCCTGTGATGGGAGGTGGAGGGACTGGAGTTTGTTCCACCCAGGGAAGAAGGGATGGCTTCAGGGGAACCTAAATTCAGACTGGATATAAAGAAGTACTTTTTCCTGAAGAGGCAAGTCAAGCAGCGGAACAGGCTGTGCAGTCTCCATCCTTGGAGGTTTTCAGGATGCAACTGGACAAGCACTGAGCAACCTGGTCTGAGCTCACAGCTGATCCTGCTTTGAACAAGACTTTGGACTAGAGACCTCTTGAGCTCCTTCCAACCTGAATGATCCCACAGTTCCTATAAGGCTACGAATCCTGTTTTGATCCTTGGTGTTACAGACAAGGTGCATTTCAAGAAGCACAGAGCACAGATTAAATAGGTACAGTTCTACAGCCTTGTCAAAGCTTACCCGCTTCTTTGTTTTCTTGTTGAGGACAGACACGTTGTATTGCAAGCCAGGATATACCTGAAGCAGAGATACGGATTCTCCCTCAGGACTTCTCTTCCACTTCTCAGGAGCAGTCAGAATGATTGAAATCGATTTCTCAGTAGAAGATACATTTATCATTGGTGGATCAATTTTAGCTGTAAAAAAGAACATCTAGATAAAGCAGTCAAATTCAGGAGAGGCACAGTGATTTGACTATGCAGTTTATTAAAGTGGATGATATTAAATTTTTGTAATGTTTTGGGGACTCTAAGTAGGACTTGGAACAATTCATTTATGTTGGTAGAAAAGTATTTTATCAGATAACTGAGAGAATCTTTACAGTGAGAAGGTGAACCACTGACTTGGAATTTTGCCTAGAAATTCCTGTAACTTCGCAGGATAAACAACCTTGAAACTCAATTTGCTAAACAAGCTAAATTACCAGTATGTTCTCAGATTATCTGGCACAGATAAGAGATACTGTGCTCTGGAGTATGATTACTGCTTGGTTTAATAGAGTCTTTTCAAAATCGGAGTTCTTTATACTGCAGATGTGCCACAGCTTTTATTTGCCTTGAGTAAAGCTTTACCACAGCATAGAAGAGTATTCAGTACATATAAGACCATATATATGACACACATATATCCAAATTCTAGTATGATTATTTCAATTACTTCTGCCAAAAACATAATGTGAAACAACTGCAAAAAAAATATAACTTTATGCTAAAATTAAAATATCATATGCTATGAAGGCACCTGCAGTCTGAGTATCAATCAAGGTCACTGAACATCTGGCTGTGTGATTAGTTTTCCTTACTGTCTGTAAGAGGGTTGAATCGTGTGGTCTCCATCCAGTCAGAGCACATCCCATTTAAGAAGGCTTTAACACTCGCATAATATTGTTCTTCATAGTCAGAGGTCTCACTGGAGAGGTCACACCACGTTCTGTTGATATTCCTGCATTCTGGCTTTCGAATCCATTTACCAACACCGTATCTATATTGAAAGAGAAAGGAACTGTACAAAAGCTATTGCCACTACATTAGTCACCTGACAATATAGCACAGAAATTGATATTACAGCTGATAAGTTTTCTTGTTCTGCAAAAATCTGCAATTTCTAAGAATTCTCAACTTCATTTGAGATAAAAGACAAGTTCTCCACCAGTTTTTAATGAAAAATAAATATGTGTAGGCCCTATGGAACTAACTGGGATGTTACCGATACCAATCTAAGTCCCGTTTTGCTCACACAGACCAGTGCTCTCAACTTCAGTCTCCACAGCTTTAGTTTAAAATATAAACACATGAGAACAGAATCAGGATAAATATTTATATAGAGACAAAGAGTTCTGTCAGAACGGTCAGTGGCTCATGGTGGTGTAGAGAGACAGATGATGCTCAGGGTTTCCAAGACCAGTGGACAGGAGACTACTCATCAGTGACTGTTACTTCTTTTTCTAGTTTAAAATAAAGGCTTCATTGGAATACAATGAACTTCAAAACCCTTCTAGTTGGAAAACAGGTGTATACCTGCTACCAACAATATCTCAGCTCAGACCAGCTCTTACAGGCTAGTAGAAGAAATCAAGATTTCCTTGGAAAATTCCTGTCTGGATGTGCTTAGAAGCTCCTGCTCCTCAAATTCACATTATTAAGAATTCCCCTTTGGCTGTTAATTAGTAAGGGCGTGTGGCAGCTTCTGTATGACTGCAGGACAGTGCCACTCACCAGCATTTTCCATCTAGCTCAAGGCCTTGCTCTCCTAGGTAGGCAGAGGCACATATGAATATTTTTATATTCGGTATGAAAGGTGGCCATACCCAGACCAGCTGACCCTGCAGAGTCATGTAGATAGTGCTCTCTGAGCATCTTTTTATGCAATCATCGTTCATTCCATAATTACTGAGCACTCTCCCTTTTCCTAGGAGGTTAGCACAGATGGCAAGACCTGAGCAAAAGAGGTTGCAGTCTGACTGCAGAAGTGACTCCTTGCTTTTTTTTGGAGCTAGTTCAAGTTACAGGAAAACTTCTGAAGACCTATCCTTGGTTTAGTGTCTTGGAAACATCACTAGATCGAGGAAGGTGCAAACATTAGAGGTAAAGACTGGGAGCATTACACCAACTGTGACAACTGCTACGCCTATTTATAAGCTAAACTTCCAGCACTGTCCTTCAGAATGACCCAGTGCTCTCTTGGTGGGAATAAAGGAAATGGATTCTGGTCCTCACTGAAATTCCTTGACAGCTTACAAAGGTGCAGACGTTGAAAGTATAAGTGTCTGATTCCAATCACGTTACTTGGTTTTCTACAGTACTTGATAAATTCAGTGGATTTTCTCCTAGACTAGAGAGGCTTGTGGGATCAGAAAAAAATCTGTGGGGGTTGGGTCTGTTAGTAAGGACCAACAAAACACTGGCTTCTGTTAATATTCTATCAAATAGTACATCTCCAGGTCTGCTTGAATGTGTACAGAAGGCTAATGTGTACAGATGCCGATCCACAGCAGAGTCCTTCGCTGTTCTGTCTCATTTCTCAGGAATGCCTCTGAAAGCTCCCATGTTGCATCCTACATTTCTTTCATAGGAAGAAAGTCTTCTTATCATTTTTTTAAACTGGATCTGAAGTAAACAGTACCAGAAGTAAAAGTTAAGAACCACAGCATTTAAGTCTATCACACATTTTAGTTCTCCTTTCTTTACATTTTAGCAGTCCTATCCTGCATAAAGATTTTTTTAGTTATTATTTAATATGCTAAATAGAACTCAGTGAGGGATAAAATAAACAAGCCAACTTACACTGAATACTTCACTTTGTAGAGTACTCCATCTCCTGTGCCTTCTGGTGCTGACCAGTGAAGGACATTCTTCATGTTTATAGATTCAAAATGGACATTCCTAGGGTTGGGCAAAGAACAACACAACTCTCCCAAGAAAGAAGATAAGAAAGGAAAAACATACACTAAGCATCTGCAAATAAATATGCTTCCAAGTTAACCAAAAAAAGATACTTATTTTTAAATAAGCCATAAAATTCCACACAGTGCCTTTCTTAGCATTAAAAGCACAAGGTTGTTGGCCATGGAAATTCAGTTTTCTCAAAAGTGTCCCTAGCTAGTGCAGTCCCAAATTCTAGCTGTATGAGTGTGGTTTTTCTCTAGCAAAAATGGCTTTGCCATTTTATGACAGACATTGGCATGGAAATATCCAGCGACTGGTAGATAAAACTAGAAAAGTTCAGCCTAAGAGAGACACACATTTTTAAAATTGTAAAGGTATTTGAATATCAGAACAATTTAACACCAGAAATTGTAAAAATATCCTTGATGCTTCAGTAGAATCTTCGTGTAGTGGAGTGAACTTTTTAAAAAACCTGGTTTGATTTTTAAAAGTCACGTTGAGTCTACTGCAAGCACAGCTTTACAAACAGAAGTACGACTTCACACTGGAGAATCAGACTAGATGATCACAATAGCACCAATGTCATTTGATTATCCATGGTGATTCTCCAGAAAGTCAGAAGTGAACACCCAGTGTTAGGTCACTCATCTAAATTGCTGTTCATTGCACCAGCTTTTGAAATGAATAAACAAGCAAGTCTGTGGCTCTTAAGAACCTAGTTTCACGTCTTCCTAATACACGCTCCTAACCTAATAAATTTAATGGAGATGCTCACATTGCTAAATTGCTTGTCCATGGGCCCAGGGGCAGAATCCCAAGCTCCAAGTTGTGATTCAATCTCCAGCACCTCCTGCCACGAGAGATGCACCCATGGAGCAACACCGAGACCAGCCCTGACGCTGCAGCTGCTGGCAAGGAGCTTCTCACTGCAAGTGGCCACAAGAGCATAATGGGGAAGAGAAAAAGTGAATCTGTGGCTCTTCAAGACTTTTCAAACCCCTTTAAGCTCTTCCTCCAGGGATGCCATTCTAGTTCTTAAGATACAAAAGAGAGACAAAGAAAGGGGGAAATAAAGCATATTAACACAAACGGTGGGAAACTGTCTGAATTAATAGTCCTTGACCGTTGTTACTTCCTTAAGCAGACCTTAAGGGGTTTTTGTAGTATACTTCACTATTACTAGAGTAATAGTGTTCATCCTCCTGTGCATGCAACGTATAGCTGCTTTTGTAAGTTAAAGTCACCACCGTTTTCCTGATTAACTTGCTGACTTCTAGCTGTCTTTGAGCCAAACAGTAAAATATAATCATTGTAAATCTTTACCCGAGAAAGATAATCTATCCTCCATGTCCACCATGAACAAGGAAGAAAAGGAACGGAGCTCAGTTTCAGCCAGAAAGGAGGCATTGGGAGTAACGCCTTGTGGGAAGAGGAGTGACACATGAGGACGGGTCACCTGGGAGGGCTGCTGGATCTTTCAAAGAACAGATAAGAGAAACATCTACCAGAAATTACACTTATTTAGCTGATTCGGCCAGTGGGACAGACTGGGTGATCTCTTAAGGTCACTGTCAGCCCCATTCTGACAGGCTTTCTTATAATAGCTGATAAATCTGGCTTCATGCTGTATAGGAATAAATTTGGCAGGGGTACTGCTGAATCAGGGGCAGGATAGCTAAAAACATCCCTGACAGCTCACTTTTCACACCTTTTTTCTTTAAAAGTTTTTAAAATCTGTACTGCTTATCAGGCTAATCCATAGTCACTAAGCTGAACTGACTGGAGGCAGCCAGTTCATCACAGACAAGGGAAATTACATCCACTGTTTTTCCAAATAGTTTTTTGTTTGCCTGTGTCTTTTGACATTTTTCTATCCTTGCACAAAAACATTTATATTCCTTGAGCACATTTTAAAGTAGCAAAAGTCATGCATTTGTCTGTTACATTATTTTTAAACTAATAGCATGAAAAGATGTTTTTTTGTCGATTTTTTTTTTTTTTTTTTTTTTTTACAAATTTCCCTCCTCCTAGTGTGGTTTCTGCTGTGGTAAATGAAGTTTCAAAACAGAAACACTGACTGCAGCAGACAGGCCAATCTCAGCATGTAGAACCCACAGACTGTATCTTTACGCGATCTGAAACATTACAGCAGTGCCAGTGTGCTCCCACCTGCCCCCCCAGCTCAGTGTGATTTGGAAGGCAGAAGGACTGAGACCATTAACTTTCCATTTGCTGCAAAAGCAGAGATTTGGTTTCTATTTCTGGTCTTGCCCCTTTACTAAAGACTTATGTTTAGCCTTACAACAAATTGTGCAAGTTTTTTTATTCTTCAATTCTGCATCTGTAAAACAAGAATAAAACTATCATACTACTCTATTTCTCCATAAGGAGTTAAGAATAAACTTCATGTATATTTGATGCTTAATAGTAACAGGAGGCATGCAGAGAAAATAGATCATATATAAAGCTTGTATGTTCCATAGTTATCAGTCAGGAAAAGACTCAAGTATGTGCATCAGCTGCTTATTTCAGTATCTTGTCTTTAAACAGAATACATCCAGTTATACTCTCATTTTATTTCCGTTAACCAGGATTAATGGCATCGGTGTCACATGGAGTATTTTCAGTTTGTACTGGCCTACGTGAGAAGAGAAATCAGTCACACACGCTGCTTTGCTAGGTTTAGTCTGTCTCATCGATAGTCTGCAATGGCTATCATCACTTCCCACTAACAAAAAGTTACTTTTTTTTCTTGCATGGAAAAACCTGGAGCCCATATTACTGTCTTCAGAAGCGCTGTAAATCAAATCTTGAGTAATATCATTCCTTACATCTTCATGACTTTGCACACCTGGACTGGAAAGTAGTAATGTAGGCTTGCAAACTTCACCACCACAACAAAGAGCCAAGTCCTGATCTTAGAATAAGCTATTGCAAGACTCTCCAAAATAGACATGACTTAGCCTGAAAACACCTTCACACGTGAGTGAAAAAACCCACCGACGTCAGTGAAATTGTTCACATGAGTAAAAGACTGCATGGCAGGTGCATCATCTTCTCTTTATGAAAGTGTCTGCTGGGTTTAAAAACTTGGCCGGTTTGAACTGCGTAGAGCTCCCTGCCAGGTATGTGCCTTGCTCCAGTCAGTACGGTTCAAAGCTTGGGTTTGGTTATAGCCATATCTATCTATCCATACACACATGCATATACAAATACAGATATAAACACACATAATTTTCATGTTACAACTATTATCCATTCAGTGTATCTGCTTTTTATCAGCCAGGAGGCACCGCTGCCTATCTCAGTGGCAAACAGCCCTGGTTAATGTCAATGCTGCAGAACAAATACAGCTGCAAGTACCTGTACCCTCTCACTATAAACAGGTTTGCTAACTTTCCACTTGAGTTGGGTAATCTAGCAGCCGCAAAGTATAAATACATAAAAAACATAGACATTTCTTCTGTACCCTGCCTAAAGTTCTGGGTTGGGGAGAAGGCAGAGGACCCACTGAAAGCTGCGCTGTTGGCACAGAAGTGCCTCCTGCGTAAGTACTGTTGTTGATTGTACCGCTCTCAAGCAGAGCAATCATCTGCTGCGTTTTACTGCAGCATGGCTACAAGGGTGCCAACACCAAATTATCCAATAAAATAAGACAACAAGGTCACAGGGCTTCTCTAGACAACTGTAAGATATAATTTAAGAGAGTGAGTGACGTGGAAAGCATTATGACAGAAAGGCAAGCCTTATGCAACACAGCTTTTCCCAATAGCCCCAGCAGTAAAACCCAGCCTCTCCTCCCTTAGAGTTGTCTCACAATTTAAAAGAGGAACTCCTTTTCTGACATCAGAGACCTCGGCTTCAATTGCTGTTGTATTTTCTTACACAAAAGCGGCCCTTGGGAGCACCTCTGATGGAAGCAGCTCCTTTGTGCTGGGCACCGAATTTACGGGCACTGCTGCAGGGACTCCCCATGCCTCACCATTTGCAGCTGCCACTTCAAGATCATGGATCTAATCTACACTCACACACCTTGGAGAGAGGGCAGCCTTTCAAATAGGCTGAGTCTCCAGTTCACGTTTTCCCACTGGGAGCATAGACCCACCAGTGAAGCATCAAGCAATTTAGGAGCAATCTAGGACAGCAAACATTTGCTTCTGGCCATGCTGTAAGCTGCTGCCCTTTCCTTTAGTCTTTCTGTTCAGCTTTGGATGACTCCCACCAAGCTCCTGTGAGGTCTTGCTTGCTCCTATGCTGCTGCTCTTCATTTCTTAAGGAATTTTTGCTCTCTTTTCTTCCTCCAGCTCATTTGTTTCAATGGTTATGTTGTTTGCAGTGAAAAATATTCCCTCAAACACATGCCTAAGCATAACATAAAAACGGTCATAGTCAGAACAAATGTCCATTTAGCATCATGTTTGGTGGCACTTGCTAGCAGAGCATTGGGGCTGTCTTTTCTGGCACATCTGCAGCCTCAAGCAAGCCGGCACTGGCCATGCAGGAATGCAAGGGAGTACACCGAGTGATACACAGGGGAACCGAGCCAATATTGGAGATCAGAAGTTATAGAGAGGAAGGGAAACCCAGTAAAGCCAGCAATACATGTTAGTAAATATCATTATCTGCTATTAGTCATCTTTGACAACAATTTAAACAAACGAGTTAACTTTTTTAAAATCTTGACAGTTTTTCTCTGTGCCGATTCTTTCAGACTCGAACTCAACAGGCCAGGTAACGAGGCAGAGGAGGAGAGGCACGTAGGAGTCATTACAACTTCGCTGCCTTTCTCCTGGGGAGCTGCTGGAGCTCTGGGACTGCCGCGTATGAAGTTGGGCTAGCGAAACCCTGAGTCGAGCAGCGCTGGTGGGAAGGTGGGGAGGAGCACGGAGGTGATTTCCTGTTCGAGTCATAGCTGCGCTCGAGAGATAACCGCAAAGCACACTCTTGCCCTCCTAGAGCAGGAGCCCGTCCCTCCTGCCACAGCCTGCTCAGAGGGGGCACGGGGCAGAGAAAGACAGGAACCGAAATGGAGATGTAAGACTATGTGAAAACAAGGCGGAGCAGTTGGAAAAGCATGAGAGAAGAGGTGGGGAGGGGGACGAGACTGGGGCGTGTGGAGTTTGTTATTGAAGAAATAGGTGGGCTGCCATTGGAAACTGGTGAAGCTGAGGAGGTCGTCTGGGGGAAGAGTGCGAGTGGAAGTACAGCCCAAAGAGCGGGAGAGATGCAGAAGGGGGACTGAAGCTGCAGCTTGCCCTGACATACTCTCCTCCTCCGCATGAAGCTTGTGCTTATTTATCCAAACCATGTCCTAACTTATAAAAACACTTCTACAGAGAATATTTGTCAAAGAACGTTTCAGACTCAGTCCAGAAAGACCCAACTTCAGAAAGGAGGAAAAAGTCTTCCCAGTACGTTGAAGGCTTGCTAGGAGACAGCTGAAGAGGGCCATGGCAGCTGACACCCATTCCTTTTTGCTAACTTTGATGACAGAAACAAAATAAACTGAATTTTCTCCCCACTGTGTTGAAGGTTTCCAAGTGCAAGAATAGAGCTCATGCTATACCTAACCAAGCCCTGCTGCAAAAATCTTTCCTTGATGCACTCCAGCAGGAGAAAGTTAGTATAGGTATGTTTTCTATTAATTCTGAGTGATCAATAGTGGCCTGAAACAAAGTGAATGAAATTCAGGGTGTGCTTGTCTAAAATTACTCACAAGCCCTTCAAGGCTTTCAGAGTCACAATCCCTCAGAGGTGTTTGTGTTTAATTTTTTTGTTGTTGTTGGTTTTTTTTTTGTTGTTGTTTTTGGTTTTTTTTTGTTTTGTTTTTGTTTTGTTTTGGTTTGGTTTGGTTTTTTTTGTTCTTTTTAAATTACCAAATTGAGTAAGTCTTTAAGTTTAGAATGCAAAAATATTTTTTTGACAAAAAGAACTAAATTAATTTTAAAAGCCCACTGTTGACACAATTCCATGACACAATAGCTGTTTTTCAAAACAGATGTTTTTAAGTTATATAAAATATTAAAAATAGCCCAACTGTCCAGTGTTAAATTTTGAAGATTTCCTTTTCTCCCTAGAACATATTTAGCATTATCAATTTATTACTATGTAGATCAACCACAACAGAACAGCCAAGAAAATGAAAGCTTAATTAGAATACCTCTGACATCTTACATTTGTTTTTCAAAATACCCAAGCGTTAAGTAAGCTTTCTGTTTGAAATATAGTAAAAATTATGCTGTGTGACAATTATCAGCCAACACCCCATACGCCACATTTTGGAACACTCCTAATCCATCCTTAAATAAAGTATCTATTTTTTACACATAAACTGAGCAAAAATTAGTTTTGGCTTTCAACATTTAGTCCTGGCTAATAACTGTTTGGCAACAACATTCCAATTAGAACTGACAGCATTATATTTATTGCCTAATATGTGTTGCTCCTTGCTGTCTGACCTACTGATGGCTTCTCTAGAGAAGGGATTCTCCTTTTCTTGAAGTCCAAACTACTGAAAACCCTGATTCTGAATCCACATTTTCCCTTGGGCAGGAGATGGAGTGTGATGTCAACAGAGGATGAGCACTTGCCTTCATTTCTGAGGAAAAGGCAGTCCTCAGATATGCAAGTCAAACACCTTCCGCATCTGAGGGGAAGGACCAACACTGCCAGCAAGTTTGCAATGCCTCATCTCTCATGAGCAATTGGGCTGCCAACGTCACACAGCCACCCCTGTTTGAATGATCATAAATTTATTTTTCACAAGAAATGGAGGTTTCCTGGAGTACCCACTCATTTCTGTTGGTCTCCTGTCAGGTATGGGCTGGTGTGTTTTGAGGCACCAGATGACTGTTCATAGTCTCCCACGGTAATTTCAGATGTGAACAAGTCAGTATCTAATTATAGGTATAGTAGTCTTTTTAGTATCTTTCCTGTACTCAACAAACATTTTTTTGTTAAAACCACCAGTCATGATTTTTAGATTCATTTTCCCGCCCATGTATTTAAGGTGATTTCGCTGTACCGAGGAAGTTGATCAGCGTAATCATCTATGTCTTTTACACGTAAGTTATGAAACACTGCCTCAGAAATGGTGTTAGAGGCGGTAAGATGCACAGCTGGATCCAAAGGACAGTGAGGCATCCAGTGTCGCTGACTTTCAAGGGAACAGCCACAAGACATTTTGATGAGATCAGGAGCCTGACCATCACCTGAGCTGGCAAGGAAGCTAGCTCTTGGTCATGTTTGAGCTACTTCAAGTTGGTTTAGACTCAGAGAGCTGAACAGGTCTACTTCTGTGCCTGTCTGCTACCTTCTTGCAGCGTGAGAAAGCCCTGTTAGCAATTACACGTGCCTCAGCCTTCTCAGGGCACAGTCATTTTTCAGTGTTTCTGAGCCACATCCTGTACGTTACTACTCTGACTACAGTACCCCCTAAAAGTAGGATATTGATGTACAGAAAAGACAAGGAAAGCCAAGAGAAGTGAAGTCTTCTTCCAGTACAAACAAATCAATCCAATACAATCCAACCAAACACAATAATAAAAACTAGCTCAACTGCTCCCTCCACCCTTTAAGAAACTAGTAGGAAATAAATTAACCCCTTTCATCCAAGAGCTGTAATATCCACTCGTGTATGTTCTTATGCCCAGAGTGTGATTAAGCTCAAACACATAAATCTTGGTAACAGCACGTAAGATCCTTTAATTTCCTGAAGTATTCCTCTTCTGTTTGGGCACATTCCTGTTCCCATCACAGAAAAGGGAATGGAAAATGGAAGGCTGAAAAATAGCTAAGCTATCAGGTGAGATTTAACTCAAGGTGCTGGGTACAAAGAAGGGAAGAAGAAACTACAGTCTTCCTCCTGTCCCTTTGTTGACCTTAAAATACCCTTCCTGTCTGCCTGGCTACTGTGAAAGTCATCTGTTTTCCATGAGAAAGAGATATAGTTTATTTAATCTTTTCACAAG